ATAATATTTTCTATAATAGCTCATTATAAAGGGGATGAAATGATGAAAATTTCCCATGCTAAAAATGGTCTGATTTTTAGTTTTGAGGTATTTTAATCTATATGCAAAACAACTTCAATTAGTCGACTATTTACTCGAGCGTTACACATCAGAGATCTGACGGTTCAATCTGATTCACTCTCCCAAAAAAAAACAAAAAAAACAAGGAAAATCCCTAAAGGAGTTTTCACTTAAAAAAACTTCCTTGTTTAATAAGCTTCAAGTTCGTATTAATTAAGCGAAGGGTTGATTATGAAATACGTTGAGATAAATCTTAAGTTGTGTATAAAAATGAGTTTTTTTGTTTCTTTTATATCATCCACCAAGTACCCGTGTTTTCGTTCAGCAAAAATTATTGCAATAATTTATTGCAAAGATTTACTTTCTTTTTTTCAACGATGAGCGATTGTAATCGTCTAAAAAATTCACAAATGTAACCCCCCTCAAAATTTGAGGTATTACGTTTTTACGATACGTAATTTTTATTTATTTATTTTCTTATTTCAATGTTTACCGACCTCCAGATTGAAAACTCCCCAATTCCAAAAATTTCTAACGTTTGTATGTTAGGATGAGATGAAGCTATTTACGACGTTTCGTTCGGATGTTAATATTTTGGCAAAAAGAGGTCTGTAACACGGACTTGTAGGACCATAGGAAGTCCATAGGTTCGTGACGGAGGGTGAAGGTGATTTGTTGGGATTTATTGGAATTTATTTTAATTCTCCAGTTTTGACACCATTCTTCAAGGTTTAAGATGTGTGATTGAAGTATTTGGGATGCAATTGATGGGCTATTATTTACTGATAGAATTCATGTGTCATCGGTATATGTGGTGATGACAGTGTTGGGATGGGTAGGGATGTCAGCTGTATAAACTGTACAGAGGATAGGACCTAGGATACTACCTTGAGGAACACCAGCGGACTGGGAAAAGTAAGGTAGGAACGGATAATGAGGAAGTCTGTAGGAGGTAGGAATATTCGAAGTTAGTATAACAGCAGTCCCAGGTGCCGAACTCTTATCAAACGCCTGTTGAACGTCGAGAAAGACTCCCGTGCAGTACATTCCGAGCTCCAATGCTGAAGAGACTACGTCCACCACACGATGACATTGTTGTTTAATGGAATGGAAAGTACGGAATCCAAATTGGTGATCTGGGATTCTTTTTTTCTAAATATGTTCTACTGCAAAGCTTTTATTTATGTTTTGGTTTTTGATTTTTTGAAAGTTTTGAATCAAATGACGCAATATCGTCAATTTTTTCTCAGCAAGTTAAAGAAAATTATTTAGGCCAATTTTAGGAATCCCATTTTGTTTATTTTCCTTAATTTTACATGTAAAGGAATGTTAATAGTGATGTTAAATAGTTTGGAAATAATAAACCGTTGTGTAATAATTTGCTGCGTTTTTTTTTTTACCGTGATCTAGGATGTATTTTAATAAAAATATCTGCATAAATAATAATAATAATAATAATAATAAGGCTTAGCGAACCCGAAGGTTCGATGCCGACACCACCAATCGCTTGTTACACACCTCCCTCCACCGTTCGCCGTCCAAACCCAGTCCCTTCAGATCGGCTTTAATGCAGTCCTCCCATCTTCGCTTCGGTCTACCCCTCGGACGCTTACCATTCGGCACAGCAAATATTAACCTTTTAGGAATTCTCTCGTTACTAAGCCCAACAACTTTACAAGCCCATTTGATTCGCCGCGATGAAATTACCTCAATTATATTACCCGGATACATCTCACGCAATTCGGCGTTGTGTAACCGTCTGAACTCTCCGGTTAACTCATCCTTTTTCGGTCCGAATATTCTACGCAATACTTTATTTTCAAAAACCTTAAGACGCTGCTCATCCCTTAATGTAAGCGGCCAAGTTTCGCATCCATAAAGAACTGTAGGTAAGATAATTGTTTTATAGATTCTAATTTTTAAGTTTCGGGACAAGAGGCGCGAACTAAGTAGTTTTGTCACAGAAAAATAACAAGCGTTCCCCGCCTTCAGTCTAACCTTAATCTCTTCTTCAATTTCGTTTTTTCTAGTTATCGTAGAACCTAGATACCTAAACTTATCTACCTGTTCAAAGATATTACCATCTATATCAATATCACCAGTAATATCGCCATTTTTGCAGCTAACCATATATTTTGTTTTATCCACGTTTATTTCGAGTCCTAGTTCTTTCCCGGCTTTCATTAACGTTGTCGTATTCAGTTTTATAGTTTCAACGTCTTCGCTTAACAGTACCAGATCATCAGCATAGCCCAGCACGGATGTTGTCCCGCCCAGATCCAACCCTTTCTCGGTTCGCATTACCTCCCTAATGGCATGTTCTAATGCCAAATTGAACAGGACAGGCGAAAGAGAATCCCCCTGTTTTAAGCCCGAACGAACCTCAAATTTTTCGGACAAATTATTACCGATTCTAACTTTATTGAGTGTCTCCGTCAAGCACATCCTGACTAGATTTACTAGTTTTTTTGGAATCCCCTGCTCGATTAGAATATTATACAATTTCTGGCGGTCAATAGAATCGTAAGCCTTTTTAAAATCTATATACAGCTGGTGAACAATACCGTTATACTCCAATTTTTTCTCTAATATTTGCCGTAAAGAAAATATTTGATCAATAGTCGAACGATTCCGTCTAAATCCGCATTGGTAGTCTCCGATAATTTCCTCGGCGTATTCCGTGATTCGACTGGTTAAGATTAAAGTGAATATTTTATAACATACCGGAAGGAGTGAAATTCCTCGATAGTTATTACAATTCGTCCTCGGACCCTTTTTGTGAATCGGAATAAGAATAGATTCTTTCCATTCTTCAGGTAATTTCTCGTTCACCCAGATCATTTTAACCAACCGATGTATTTTAGAAACTCCAGCTTCTCCGCATGCCTTAATTAGTTCAGTAGGAATATTATCGATTCCCGCTGCTTTATATGATTTTAATTTTCCGATAGCTACTTTAACTTCCTCTTTAGTTGGTCCTTCTATTAACGGCTCAGCACTCTGGTACTCAGAAGGAGGACACAGATCATAATTTCCCGTATTTAAAATATTGTCAAAGTGGTCCTTAAACTTATTCAATATGTCAACCGGATCGGTCAGAATATTGTTATTATCATCCCTAATTCCAGACGTTACGGGCCCTACATATTTACGTGATCTGTTTATACCTTTGTACATGTCTCTTACGTTATTTTCGATTCTATTAGTTTCTATTTCAATTATTTTATTTTTAAGATACTCCCTTTTTTTATTTTTGAGCAATTTTGTCGTTTCGTTCTTTGAGATTCGGAAGTATTCCAGATTGTCTTCGCTAGGATTATTTAGAGCTTTTAATTTAGCGGCTTTTCTTTTTTCACACATGTTTAAGCAATCTTCATCAAACCACGGTTTGTTATTCTTATTTTCCTTTTTTCCTAGACACGAGTTACCGACCGCTTTAATATTATCTCTGATCTCTATCCATAACTTGTCAATATCCTCGTGGTCCTCGTCAGGGAGCTCTAAAGCTTCAAACCTATTCTTAACATCTAGCTCGAATTGGTTTCTAATTGATGGATTTTTTAATTTTTCCAAATTAAAATTCTCAAAATCGAAACGGTTTTCTTTTCTCTTTTTTATATTAAGTTTTTGTCGAAGTTTCGCGATTACTAATTCATGATCCGACCCACATTCTGCTCCGCGATAAGACCGTACATTAATTATACTGCTTTGCCAGCTGTGTTGTATCAAGACATGATCGATTTGATTTCGTGTTTGCGAATCCGGTGATGTCCAAGTATATTTATGAATATCCTTATGTTTAAACGTCGTACTTTTAATTATCAGGTTTTTCGAGATGGCAAAGTTTATCAGACGGATCCCATTATCATTACTATATTCGTGCAAACTTTCTTTACCAATCGTCGGAATATAAACTTCTTCCCTTCCTACCTTTGCGTTCGCGTCACCTACAATTATTTTCATGTAGTTTCGTGGTAGTTTATCATAAACCCATTCGAGTTTATCGTAAAATTCACTTTTGACTTCATCGTCACTGTCTTCGGTCGGACAATGTATGTTTATTAATGCCATTTTAAACCAACGTCCCTGAAATGTAGCTACCGAAATTCTATCACTAAAGAATTGTACGTCCCTCAAAGCGGATAGTAATCTACGCCTAATTAGAAACCCGGTACCTAAACAATGATTCTCGCTTCCTCCGTACCAAATAGTGTACTTCCCTTCCCTCATCGAGCCCTCCCCTGGCCAGCGAACCTCTTGCAGAGCCACGACATCCAAATTGTACCCATTTACCTCATTCGCGACCGATTTTAGCCCCCCTGCTGTGTTTAAACTCCTTACGTTCCACGTACCAAAATTTAAATCCCTATATTTCAACTTGCGCCATGAATCCCCTAAAGCAGTCCCCACCCGGAGACCCGAACGGGGGACTAGTTTACTTCCGGATAATGAGCGTTTTACCTTAGGAAGATCCATGACTTTTTGTGGTGTTTGGTGAACTAAAGATATGTGAGTAGGGCGTTCAATCCTACGTCACACCCTCCAGCAAGACTGGTGGGCCCCTACCTCCAGCAAGTCTGGAGGTCCCCTCCCTCCAGCAAGTCTGGAGGGCCCCTCTCATTGTTGGTCAGCGAGTCCATCGGACTTAGCCGGGAGGAACTTCCAAGAAATTTCCACCGACCATCCCCACATCCGCCACCCGTGGGACGCTCCCCATACGCGGTAATGAGCCCGCGCGAGGATAAATACACATTTATCTGATCTGCATAAATACACATTTTATTTTAAAAAATAATTAAATAAAACTTATGTTTATCTTTATCTTCCCTCCCATCCTGTGTGTCCTGTATAGAAAATTACCTGACTCGCCTTGACCGATATCCAGAGCTCAGTTCTTGACAGCCTCCGTTGACAATGGTCTTTGTTTTTGTTGAGGGCGGATGGTCCTCCCTGGGAGGGGTCAGGATGCGACCGAGCAGTTAGGTGACAATAGGACGGCACTCCTCCATCTAACTGGCGCCGTCCGTCCTCAAAGGAAGAGGTGTAGCTTCTTGGAAGGAACTCCTGTAGTCTCCTTTCTCATTAGTGGTTCAGCATTTATAATTTATTTTATAGGAAGTTTGCTGAAATACATGTTTTATTTATTTATATGATTCGTTATTGTCCGTTATTGAAAATTGCATATATTGCTTGTTTTATATGCCTTAGGAAAAATAAATTAAAAAAAATCGTTGTATAATTAAGATTACACGATAGAAGCGAAAATATCAATCAGGGGGAATTAATAATAGCAGGTATAATTTGTTTTGTTCTTTATTATAAAGTAATAATTTTTTAATAAAACTTCTGAAAAGGAGGGAGGGTCAGTTAATTTGTCGAAACACTATCGAGTGCAACAGAAAATCTAATAAAAACACTTGATTTATTATTTTTACGGTTAATAAAAAAAAAAAAAATCCAAGGTGTGTGCTTTAGACCACATGATAGAAGTGAAAACATCAACAAGATGATATCAATAACATGAATTATAAATTATAAATAATAGCTCATTATAAAGAGGATGAAATACTGAACATTTCCCTCGCTTACAGTATGCAGATCCGATATTTAGTTTCTAAAATATTTTAATCCACATCTTCAATAAAACTCCTTTTCATTTGGTGGCTATTTTTTTCCTTTTTCGCCTCCCTAACACGGCGTCGCCTTAAGATACAATTTTAATTATAGCTCATTACAAAAAGGATGAAATGATGAACATTTCTTTCGCTAACAATATGCATGTTCGATTTTATTTTTTAAGATATTTGAATCCACATCCTAAAACACTTCAATTAGTCTACTCCAGTCGACTTTACCTGAGCGTTACACATCGGAGATCTCACGGCTCAATCTAATTCACTCTCCAACAAAAAAGTGCAAAATGACCAGATAATCAGCTGGAAATGTATGGCCATTATAAAAAAGAAATCTTGACAGCAAAGACATGTGTATACAATATATGTAAGAAATTAATATGTGGGTTTACAAGAGAACATCAAGGAGAGGGTTATAATGCAATAAATAATTCTCACCTCTAATTCAGTAGGTCATGGAATGTAAATTAAGTTCCATAAATAATACAAATAAGTAAATAAAGTTCCATACTTAATAAAAAAACTAAGATGTGTGCTTCAGACCACACGATAGAAGTGAAAACATGAACAAGGTGATATCAATAATATGAAATATATATTATAAATAATAGCTCATTATAAAGAGTATGAAATACTGAACGTTTACCTCGCTTACAGTATGCAGGTCCGATATTTAGTTTCTAAAATATTTTAATCCATATCTTCAATAAAACTCGTTTTCATTTGGTTTTCGATGCTATTTTTTTCCTTTTCGCCTCCCTAACAGCGTCACCTTAAAATACAATTTTAATTATAGCTCATTACAAGGAGGATGAAATGATGAACATTTCTTTCGCTAACAATATGCATGTTCGATTTTATTTTTTGAGATATTTTAATCCACATCCTAAAACTCAATTAGTCTACTCCAGTCGATCTTACACATCGGAGTTCTGATGGCTCAATCTAATCTCAAGCTCAATCTACTATTTATAATGAGTACTTATTTTGAAGACTATTTTCTCCTTCAGATGGGAAAAATAAATAGATCCCACCTAAAATTTCAGGAAAAGATTACGTAAAAAAAGAAGCTTTATTTAAGCATAACAATGAACTAAATTTGATTTATGATGTATTACAGCCATTGTTAGTTAAAATATTACTAAATTCTTTACAAAACTAAAAACAAAATCTACGAAATCGTGCCATTATTAGGAAAGATAGTGGACTATAAGTAGTATTTTGTACTTATTGTTTACTTTATTATTAAAGCGAAAACTTCTTTAGACGCGTTGTGCATTTTTTTTTTTTTTTTTTGTGAAGATTGAATTAGTTCGAGGTGTCAGATTCCAATGTGTAACGCTCGGGTAAAGTCGGGTTGAGTAGATTATTTGAATGTTTTTGCATATGGCTTAAAATACTGTAAGCGAGGGAAATGTTCATCATTTCATCCTCTTCATAATGAGCTTTTATTAAGATTGTATCTTAACGCTACGCCGTATTAATGAGGCAAAAAGGAAATAATAACGAGTATTATTGAGAATATGGATGAAAATATCTCGGAAACTAAAAATCGAATCTGCATTCTGAAGACGAGGGAAATTTTCAGTATTTCATTCTGTTTATAATTTGATATTATTTATAATTTATATTTCACTTTATTAATCTCGCCTTGTTGATATTTTCACGTCTATCATGCCGTCTAAAGCACACGCTTTAGTGGTTTTTTTATGAATGAACTGCAGGAAGGTCTCAATAATTCGAATCTCCCAGTAGTCCTAAATCCCTGGTAATCCGAACAAGAAAGAAAAAACAGTTGACTGACGAGAGACGGAATGGAAATGGCTGTTTCTCAGTAGCTCAGTCAATCGAATCGTATCTTGGTGTTTTTGAACGGAAAATATTAAAACTAGGCGTTGAGGAATCTCTTTATATGTGGATTTTGCGTCAGAGATCATAAGAGTGTCATGTTTGCGGGTATATATTAACTGAGAAATCTTTTTTTTGAAGGATGACAAAGCATATTTTAATGACAGTGTACATTGGCTTGATAATTTCAAAAGCAGGTATAGCATACAATTTTTTTCATTTGAAAATTTCTTTGTACCCATTTTATTTTTCATAATAGATAATTAGAAAGGCCATAAAGGCATTTAATACTTGATTGGAGTGGGCGAATGGAAATAACGTCGGCTCTACTGCAGTCTGGTGCTTTTAAAGAATTTGCGAGATCAGGCGTTATTTTTAGCAAGAAAATCAGAGACTCAACGTACATTATGTAATCTGATTATTATTTGTTTGCAATGTGTATATACTTACTTATATTATATATATATATATATTATCAGCTAAGTATATAAACATTGCAAACAAATAATAATCAGATAACATAATGTACGTTGAATCTCTGATTTTCTTGCTAAAAAGAAGTTACATAAGATATATATATATATATATATATATATATATATATATATATATATATATATATATATATATATATATATATATATATATATATATATATTCGTTCTATGTAACTTTTACCATTACAATTTTAAATTTAACCTTTAACCTTTGATAATCTGAACAGGCAATGAAGTAATCTACGTTTTCGGAAAAAAAAAATATCTGTCTTATAATACATTGCATTAACTTCTATATTATTTTGTCATTTGTTCACTGACCGATATATTACGCCATTATTAGAACAGACCAATTAGTTTTTCGTTAATTAAATTTTTTAGCTAACTGAACTAAACGTTCTTGATTGCTCCAGTAGTTGAAATAAGTTACGTTTTCAGTCGCAGTGATTGATGCCCTGATTCGTAGGCAACAGTCCGGTAGAAACTATCGAGGTTCCTGGACTACTCTCCCGACTGGACTTTCCCTTTATGCTCCTGGAAAACAGGGGAATTTACCCCAAAACAGTCCCTGCTTTCTCCCCCAGCGATACAGATCTATATTCCCATCCATCAATCCACTCCTTTGTCTCTTACAGTATGCTTCTTTTCTCTTTTTCATCCGATCGCTAATGGAGAAAATATCTTCTATTTCTTTTTTACCTCTCATTAAGAACATCCTGGTAGCAAATGTACTAAAGTAGACCTAGTTTCTTCATGAGGACTCCTTTACAATATGGACAACAAAATTGTTTTTAAACTCTTTAAAAAAAAAAAGATCCAATGTATTTTTCGTGATTCTGAGACACATCAAAGTATAATATTTTCCGATTTTAATTTCAATATTGGTTAACCTTTAATTTCTTTATCTGTTAACCTGCATTTGTCAACTTCTACCTTTGTAATATCTACTAGCTTGTTATCCACCAATATATTATTATTTTACCATTACTAGATCACTACTTATTCGTTATTCAATTTTAGTCAGTGGTACAGAACTCTTTTTATGGAATTATTAACATCCGCCTGAAACTTCGTAAATAGTTTCATCTCATCGTAACCTACAACTATTTTATTTAAGAAAATTATTGGAATTGGAGCGTTTTGAATCTGGAGGGGGACAAACAATGTCTATTTAATTAAGTACTAAAAACTCGTAAATACACATTTGCTTTCTACTTGGAACGTAAAATAATTTGATCGAGAAAAAATTTGGCCTTCATAAATATTATGCCGTTAAGCGTGTGTCTTACACCCTGAAATTTTCAAAACAACGAGGTTATATAGGACAAACGGCGCAATATTTTTTTTGTGCACTTTTGTGATCAAATTATCTTACGATCCAAGTAGAAAGCAAGTGTATATTTTGAGTACCTAATTAAATAAACAAAGTTTGCCCCCCTCCAGATAGGAAACGTCCAATTTAAGAGTTTTCGTAAATAAAATAGTTGTAGATTACGATGAGATGAAACTATTTACGAAGTTTCAGGCGGATGTTAATAATTCGATAAAAAGGGGTCTGTACCATGGACTATTTCTTTATTAGTTAACCCTCATTTTTTATCTGTTAACCTACAGTTATCAAATGTATCCTTTACTAGTTTATTATCCGCTCATACCTTACCTTATCGCAATCTGTTTACTTTTAATACTTGATATTTTTACTATATTATCAACTACTATATCACTGATGCCATTTTATTATTTCTTTATCTGACAACTATTTCTTATTTAATATCTACTAATAATTCATTTATTTTATTTTCACTACGTACCTTTTATATTTTGTAGCCCTGAAGAAGACGTACAATGTGGTTCGAAACGTCGGCGTAACTAATATAATACTATTTTATTTTATGAATTATTGAAGGAAGTTGGTCAACTGTTCTACGAATGATAAACACGCCCTGATGAAGTTTGGGTTGAAACGTCGGCACTAATAAAAACTTTATAATGACTACGTCCTGAATATTCATCACCCATATTTTATTTTAGAATATTTATTTAACCTCACCTTCGACCAACTACTTCTCATATTATAATCACAGTCGACACCATTATAATAGTTTACAGTTTTTCTTCTGTTCTTTGTTCGCGGCAAGTAAATTCAACATTTAAATGACCAGTCTAAGAAATTTATGTTAGCAAAAAAAAAAAAAAAAAAAAATATGCGTATCAAATCGATTCTGAAGTAAGATATTATTTTTTAATTTATTTTTTGTAGTATGTAATTTTCTTTACCTAACATATTATGTCACATTTGTTTCGTAGGATATGATAACCTTTGTCATTTTGTTCTTTGTTATTGTTGCCTAATATATAATAACTATCTTAAAGGAAACTAATAAACCGTGACCTTCTGTATTGTTCTCAATTTTTCTTTTATTTTTTACTCGCTTAGAAAGTCTTAAGAAGGCAATGTTTTTTTGTTTACACTTCGTAACTCCCCCTTCTTTTTTGGTACCAATATCATGGGAAAGACAATTAATCAATCTATTTAATTAATAAAGTTAAGTATAAAGTTCAATATATTTGGAGAAAAAAAAGTTATTACTAACATACCTTTTTTTATATTATAAGAAGGATATTACAATGAATGCAAAAGTAATTGTGACTTTAATTTAAAATTTAGATCAATTGTTTATAAAATCATGTCTATAATTTTTTTTTTGTTATTATCTTGCTGCCCCAAAAAGTATACTTTAATTTGCATTTTAGAAATTTTGTTTATTCGCGCCTTTTTCTTAGAAGTAAAACGGTCTTCGATAGATTTGTGTTATCCGTAAAACTTTCCAATAAAGTGCATTGGTTTTTTTTGTAACTATGCGGTGCAAAAATAATGATCAAGAAAAGTCTTCTAAACACTCATCAGAATTTAGAGATAGTTAAGTTTATTTACGTGTGAATTTCCTAAAGAAGAAAACAATCGAAAGAAATATTTCTAGCGAGCTGCAGCGTTTGGTTGAGCGTATTATTGTGTCTGAAGGTGGAACATAACACCATACTTGGAAACTAGAAAGACCATAATATTTTTTAAAGGAAAGCAATGGAATAATAGAAATATCATGTTTGTGCTGCTACACAGAAAATCTGAATAATATACAGTTAAGATCAAAATTATAAAATTTTGCAAAGTAGTGCTCGAAGTGTCTGTTTATTATTAATATCAGTTCTATCAATCATATTATTACAAAATATGAAAAAATAATATATTTGCGATTTCTACTCCATTTCGTGTGGTAGATACACAGGAAAAGAGATTGATTTATCGACGATTTTTTAACTATATTTTCTTGCATCAAAACAGGGTGACGCACCAGTTATGGACAGAGGATCCAGTGATGGACAGGTCGGACTTCAATTGTAAACAATAAACTTCTTTGTTGATTTAAAGGTTTCAAGTTTTCTAGATTGAAGAACAATGCCCTCTATTGACAACTGTATGAATTAAGTTCCCAAAAGAAATTTTGAAAATGCCTATCGTTGTTGTTTTTATAGTGCTCTTGAGATCAGTGTGTTTCATACCTTCCTACTAACAGTTTTGCTAAGAGTAAGTTGAACATTTATGTTATCTTATCTTTATAGTTAAATAAAGATTTTAGAAGTTATCCATTACTGGTACCGACCCCTGTCCATTACTAGAACAATTGAATTTCGGGTGTCCATCACTAGTGCAAAAAGTCTCTTTTTTTTTTTTTAAATGGAGATTATACCTGCGTAACTGAATATTTTTTGAATTTTAAAGTGTTAAATAGAACAAGGAGACCTTAGAGATTCTAAATGTCAAACGAAGAAGTTATAATTATAATAATTACGGCGACATAAGCCTAAAAAGACAAATATTATCCTTAACTGTGTCCATCTCTGGTGTAACTGTACCCTATCATAATCATCATAATCATAATCATCACCTCTAAAAACATTAATGAGCTCATTTTCAGAACTTGTCCTGAACTTGCCAGGTGAAATGACCGAATGACTGGACTGTAACTGGTCATCTGTATTCTCCGTGTGCCATGTTCGCTTGATGGCATTATACCTTTGTCAGAATGATTTTTCACACGTGCTCTCTCGTCTCGACGTTACCCTTCGCCGCACTGTTACGTTACCCTTTTGATGACGCTCCAGTTTGGACACGGATGGCTTAGCCTGTCAACTGCCCTTTGATATTGTAAGGACCCAAACAGAACTCATTGTCATGTTAAACTACCCTCCTGACAGCTACCCTCCTCGGAGTGATGGATCGCCCATATCGAGGGGGGGGTGCTCCCCGACGTTGTGGAGTACCCATTGTGCATCATTTGCCGGCTAATGACTCCTTAATAACTCGCATCATTTGCGGCTTAGCGCTCCTTATAAGTGGCTCTTGAGAGGAGCGTGAAAGAGGTAGTTAACAATGTCGATCGATGTGATGTATTTGCTTGGGCTTATGAAAAGGGAGCCTTAAAATTTGCAAAAGATAACGAATAAAGATAATTATGTTAGTGATTTCATCTTAAGAACTATTTTTAATCATACTAGAGGATACCCTCTGCCATTTCACAAATTATATAACTGTTCATTTAATTGTACAATTCATTGCTCAAATTGTATTGCTATTATTTCCTTGTATTCCACAGTTCAGTTTGAATTATTTTTTATCGACATAAATTGAACGGAACATAACCACAGTTCGGACAAATTTTTAATTTCTTTAAAAATCTATATTATACATACCACCTTATGGCCAAGTTATATTATTATATAATTATATTTATTCTTATTGTCAATTCGTAACCGTGATAAGGAAGTAATGATACTGAGAAGTGTGTTGTCTTCGTTACGGTCCGTCCCGCTTTGTATGTGTAAATGAAAAAATATGACACGGTCTATAAAAACTGTTTTATATTTTAGAGACATATAATAATGTTTTAGATCTTTTGTTATTTCTCAAAGGTATATTTGTCTCGTTTTCTTCGTTAATTCTTAAATCCAATGATGACGAAGTCATTTTAAAGATTATTATTTCCTTCAGGTGAGGAAAATGGTCACGTCCTCCCGGAATCCAGTGATGAAAAAATAAATTTTATTAATGCATAACTCTAAAATTATACCTTTTATGGATGATTATTTGAAAGGTTATTAATTTTCCTTAAAACATGAAAAAAATCACTGAAATCGATTAGAAATTTCCCAGATTAAATGGTTGTTTATTTTTGGATTATATCATTTAACAGAACTCTATTAGATGATTTAAATATCCGTATAATTAACTCTGCAATATTTTAAGAAATGTATAGCTTTTGATTATTTTAAAACTAATCAAAAGTGAACTGATTGCCATGGGAACAAACTCAATATCGTATTATTATAACATTTCCATTTTTTTTTTTTTTTTTGCGCCATATCTTCGTTAACTCTTTATCAAATTTAATGATAAAATCATCATTTTCAAAATCTTTTCCAGATGCCAGTTCCATTTTCCAAAAAAAATGTAATAAACAATAGAAAACTTTACTTGTACATACATTATATATTTCAAAATAATTTCCAAATACTCTCAAAACTTATTTACTGAATTGAGGCCGTTTGTGGTAAAAATATAACGATTTGCAATTTTATTTATTTTGAAGGGAGTTGGGTAGCTCAGTGGTAGGGTACTGGGCAATGCTAAAGGTCCCGGGTTCGAATCCCGACTCATTTCAGAAAAATTATTTATATAAAATTATTCATTGGCTGTGAGGCGACCTTGGGTAGGTATATCCTCCTGTGGCACACCCAGCCTCTATAAAATGGGTACCGTTAGTTAAAATGATTAATTAAGGGGAAAAACCTGGCGGTTGAGCATGATCTCGGTCAAATCACTTCCTTGCATAACCGTAGACCAAGAAACAGTGCTTTCCCTAAATAGTACTGTATCCAAGATCCTTTCTTGGGTTTTACTGGTAGAGGTTTTTTTTTTAATTTGTATTATCATTATTTTTTTTTTTTTAATGAATATTAGGTTCTTCTTTTCGTAATACATTGAATTAACTTATTTCTATTTCACCGACCATATGCCATAGGGCAGTGTATGGACAAAGCAACAGGATATATAAGTATATATTGCATGTACTTGTGTTGTAATAGTTGAAAATAAAATGGAGGATCATTATACTGCGCGAATCATTCACAACTGCCAACTAGTTTCCATACATATTTCTTTTATTAGTGACATACTTATTGTCACATCTTGTCTATTTTTTTTTTTTGTCTTTAACAAATGCTTCGGTTAAATATGTAATATAATATAAATACCTTATAAAATTCATAAGTTAACTGATATTTATAATAAATATCAGTTAACTTATGGATTGGCTCTTATAGGGTGGGAAATCTTGTTGAATGATTAGAAAATTCCTGGAAGGTGTGGTTAAGGTCGCTATAAAAGGAAAGGGTGTTGAATTGCCTCTGTTGCAGACAGTGACGTCACTGAAGAATGCCTGAATCACCGGTGACTCAAAGGAACAGTGACTCTGTGAGGCTTGCTGATATCAGAAAGGTTCCATTGCTCTCAGCTGTGTGTCGTGTTATTTAAATATAACTCTACAAAACATCCGCTGGAACAAACAGGGAATTCCCTAACTTGGTGTCATGTCGACCATATTGCTCAGTTGTGACCGATAACGGGGTGATTCGATGGTTGGTTTTTCGGGATAGTCACATCCCGATGCCTGGAATAATGGATGTCTCCATCACATTCACATAGCATTAGGGATACTATTTTTGATTGATTGATTACACCCCTTAAACATGCTTTATCATCTGATTTTACATTGAAAATTATTCTATTAACGTCGAACATATTATTGTTTTCATTTATTGAATATCTTTTTTCTTATTTTAATTTATAAGTAAAATTGAGTTTATTTAATAAAAAAACAAAACACAATATGGTCAAAGCAGATAGAAACATTTAGTGGAAGAATGACATTTAAACTTTTTTTATTATTTTTTATTAGTCGAGTGTTGTTGAGACGAAAATGGTTAATAATATGCCTTTAATTTGTAACTAAAGACCAAAAGATTAAATTGTGAAATTGATTAAATTTAAAAAATAAAAATAGTAGTTATTAATAACTAATATGATGATGTACTAGATTAATTATAAGAGAAAAAATACAAGTATAATACAAGTAACGTACCTACATTATTTGGGAGTCGGAACGGATTTGTTTTTGAGGTCTCCCCTTCAATAAAATAAATTAATGATATTTAAATCCTGCCGAAAAATTTCCTAAAAAATAAAAACAATAACTTACTGTTCTCATGGAATGAAATTTATCTATTTCTTTGCAAAAAACCTATCATTGAAGCTAAAAATCCTGTCGTAACAATAATATAAAACCTGTACCACAAACAACCTATGAAGGATCTTTGATTTAATACAATGTGATTGGTTGGTTGCTGTATAGTAAAGGCGTAAAACCTTTTGATCATCAACGCTGTGAATTAAAATTACATCTTTTGGTTGTGAATATTAAGAATCGGACAGAATTAAAAAGATGTGAAATACACGTTAAGGTTAAAGTTGTTTACGGTTATTAAAGTTTTGTTTATTTAAAGTTGGCACGTTGGGTAAAAGAGAAAAAGCGGGGGGAAATGCGTGATAGATTCAGAGATTTTTTAAGATTCCTTCTTCATAGAGTACAATGTGAGGAATTACTGTTAATAGGCCAACGATTGTGGAGGGAGGTGATCGTGCCGAGATCACTGCTCAATCGTCAGGTTTTCTGTATTAATTATTTAATTAAGGGTATCCACTTTATAGAGACTGGATGTACCCCAGGAGGGTCTTCCGGCCTCAGGATCGATCCACGATAAAATAACTATTATAAAAATAACTTCTTTGTCTGACAGAACTAAAAATCATAACATTTTGAAATGAACTTATTATTCAATTGAAAAATAAATTAATATTCGCACCCTGGAGCCTCAGTTTTTTAACAACATATATATCATAAAATCAGTAGATAATTTTATATTTAATAGAAGTAACGTCTCATTTAACAAAAATGTATCTAGTTTTTGGAATGAATATTTAATTTATTAATTAATGCCCTTGTGTCGATCCACAATAAGATAATTATGGTTAAAAAAAAAAAAGTCCTCGTTTGACAGAACTAAAAATCATAATATTTTGAAATAAACTTATTCAATTGAAAAAAAAAAACTCACAGTGAGGTCCCAATTTTTGACAAAAGATATATCTTAAAATCAACAAATAATTTTATAGTTAATTGAAGTAAGGTCTGATTTAACGTAAGATTATCTATATTTTGGAATGAACTTTTAATTTAATTTAAAAAATGGCCCCCAAATTGACTTACTAACAAAAACCCACTAATTAACAAAAAAGAAATTTAAAAATATTTATAGAGTACTACCATTGGGTAGTTACTCAACAAGTGTTTTCACGTCATGATATCCATATGTTCAAATTTACTAAATATATTTCTTTAATACAGTTGTAAATATCATTAAGAAATAATAATAATTTTTTTTTGTTTTATTAAAGAAAGCAATGTGTGTACACTTTTGAAAATATGTTTATTATATACTTTTAGAATAATTCTCTTTTGTGAGGCCTGTTTTTTAAGTATAGATGCACTTGCCCTCTTTCCTAATCATGCCAATGAATGATAATAAAAATGAATACAATATGAAATAATAACATTTAGCCATACGATTAGTTAGATAAAAAAGAAATGTCCTACATAATTGAATATAATAACATTAAAAAAATATTACCTAAGTAAATATTGCTACATATTTCATAAAACACTGATTATAGGATGTAATACTACATAGTAATTGAATGAAAAAAATTGTTAATTTTTTATTTGTGCCAAAATTTCATACCAAACTTGTGGTTCATCTTCAGGACTTTAAAATAATTCGCAAATAAAAATTTTTTTTTTTTTAAAGACTGCGTCCTGAATATTTATCATCCATACTACATAATAGTATTAAAAAATAATACTTTTCTTGACTATCAATATTATTGATACTTCTAGTAGTCATTTTAAAAAAAAAATTGTTTGTAATTTATAATTAAAACATATATCACAATTACATGCAATTATTCTTAATATTAAATAAATCAATTAACATAATTATAATAATATAATTATGATGGATTACTATGATTGCTCCTGTTTCTATCTGTGCGTAGCGCTCTCTCTACCTTTATATTTTTATATTTATTCCTTCAGACGAACCCAAATATTGATTTTTATTTAGTGTACGGTAGCAAATAGGTTTATTTGTAGATCCTGACAGCAAATCTTGTTA